CGTCGAGTTTTGCTACTGTATTCATGAATACAGTAGTTAAAATACATCGAATACACTCTAAAAAAAATTAAAAACATAGCTATAGGAAGTAATATAGTAAATGGTAGCTACAACTAGCTAATAACCACTAAAAAATAATGATTTGTAAAAAATTCTCTTTTACTATTTATACTTCTTATCAGCCGTATTAATGTCTCTATTATATTTTTTGATAATAATTTCATTCCTTGAATTGTGCATTTGGATAATTGCGGTGAGAATGAGGAACTTTGTAGGCAATTTAACATGAGTACCCATTTGGATATTCATTTGTAAAAAAAAAAACTTCTCAACTTATAAGTTCAAAACCGAAATCCAAAATATCTAAATCGATTAATCCGAAATTATTTGGACTGGATTTGGATTGTCATTTCTTCAATCTTAAAATCGAAAATCCAAACCAAACTTTTCATATGCAATCCGAACTGCCTAAACGTCCACCCTATTATCTAGTTTGATGCAACTAGACCGAAGGTTTTGAGCGTTGAAAAATGACAATATGCAGAAATTTGGGGAAAAAATATCTCATGTCGTAAAAAATTACTTAATCATAAAAAGTTTAATGCTATTAATTTAAAAAAATGTTTAACATGATGTTGTCAAACTCATGAATATAATAAAACTCCTAGACGTCATGCATGTTGTACAGGTCCAAATTTGGTGACTCAGCGATAACGGATAAGTAAGACAAAGGACGTGGTCGACCATGATATAATGACTTAAGGTTGTTCTCACAAAGGCTGGTGCCAAAAGCGGGCAACCGAGATGAGAAAGTAACAGTAGCATAGGTTCAGAAGTGGACATAAAGAATATTCTTTTGGATATTCTTTATGTTGTGTTTTTTAGGGGTTTTAAGGAATATCCGTTATAAATAGGAAGAGATATGGAACAAAGGGAGAATCTTCTCTTTTGGACAAAAACATATTGCAAGGGTTGACAAGAGGATATACGAAAAAGTTGTCTTATTTATTGATTTATTCAAGCACACGTTGTTCAATATTTATCTATAAATTCCAAGATTACATACACATCTTGACTTCTCACTTTTCCACGTCGCAGATAGAGAAAAGGAACTTCCCAATCATATAATAATTGGGTGGTAGATCCTTTCCCATTACATTTATTGATTGTCAATCATAGTGTATCAAATTCGTTATTTAATGCTCTTGAGCACTACCCGTTCCACAAGTGCTCTATTTTATTCGGTCTAAAATTTATTAAGTTAAACTAAGATTCGCCCTTTGATTCATTATTAATTGGTTTAGCACTTATTTACTCAAACAATTTGGCGCCGTCTGCGGGGAGGTTTTAGTTGAAATTTTAGTTCCTTCTAGACAAAACAAATAGCCATCTCTTCTTCGTTTGCACAAACTAACGATGGCAGGAAAATGAGATGCAAGACTGAAAGCAATAGAAGGCGGCACTACCAACATTTTGAATACCATCAACGAAGATGGCAGGGAAGATAACGAGAACCTGATGCCAAGTGCTACGCCCAGGCGGAGTGATTCACCTCCCCCTCATGAAAGCGTAACAGCTTCACGTGAAGGGGGAGCCTCCACGTCTACAACTAAGGAAACACCACCAGCAATGAAAAAATTACTGAAAGAGTGGTTGACAAGTACTCTAAACAACATACTCGACAAACCCATTCAAAGGAAGAGCAGAAACACCGCGCAAGCAGATACCACAACTATCACCGGCGAGCAGCCCGCCCCTCAAACAAGTAACACTTACACTACTGTTGATGCAGGTAGTGATGCACTTGCATCCATTCTAAAGAAAATGGAAGAAATAGAAAATGAAAACAAAGCACTCCGCGACCATATGAGAGAGCATCAAGAAAGGGTCGATAAGATACCGGGTGCCTCGAAGTTGATACCAAAATAAGTCGTTGGCCGGTTTGTTGAACAACTGTACAACGTGGAAGCGGATCCATATGCAATTCCCAAGACCTTCAAAATTCCACCATACTTGAAGATATACGACGGTACTATAGACCCCTAAGATCACATCTTCCATTACGTCACAACGGTGAAGGGTAACGACCTTTCGAAGGAGCAAGTACCGTCAGTGTTACTGAAAAAGTTTGGTGAAACCCTAACCGGGGGGGGGGGAAGCCTTAACCTGGTATTCACAACTGCCGGCACGGTCAATAACAACGTTCGAGGAAATGGCCGACAAGTTCGTCACCGCCCATACCGAGGCTAAAAAGGTGGAGGCCAGGGTGAATGACATATTCGCCGTTAGGCAATCGCCTGGCGAGGGACTCAGTGACTTCCTCGCCTAGTTTAATAGGGTAAGAATGAACCTACTAAATGTATCAGAAGGGATGGCGGTAGCAACTTTCCAGAACGGGTTGAACAGGAGCGAGTCGAGAGCAACCACAAAATTATTAAGTAGGCTCATGAAATACCCTCCTACCACTTGGGAATAAATCCACAATGCCTACTGCACCGAGGTGAGAGCCGACGAGGACAATCTTAACGGTCCGACCCAATGGCTGACATCAGTTCAAACAAAATCGAGAAAAGATTGTTGTAATGACGGTCAAAGAGATCAGTCAGGTCCCCGTGTCAACCGAGAAAGACATCAACCCTACGTTAGAACAACCGTCCCACCATCTCCTCGATATGCTGAAGGGCCGTCTAGGCCACATATAGGGACTCAGCAAAACGAAAGAGGTATGCCTCCACTCTTATCTGCTCACAATTTTTGTCTTTCCCCTTCAAAAATAGTGTACGCACTGGAGAAGCTTGGCACAAAGATGAAGTGGCCAAAAAAGATGAAGTCCGACCCAAGTATCCGAAAGTCAAACGTCCTTTGTGAATTTCACCAGGAGCGGGGTCACAAAACCGAGGACTACATAGCTCTATGGAAAGAGGTAGTAAACATGCTGAACCAAGGGCACCTGAGGGAACTGATGAGCGACCGTGGACGAGCCAACTTCAGGCGTGGACGTGAACAACACCAGGGCCCTCCAAAGCCACCCTCCCCCTCCTGCACTAACCAAATGATCATCAATGGATGCGATGAAGCGACGATAAACCATGTGAAGTTCACCACCACACACAAACTGAAGCGTTCGATCACCCACGAATGGTACGACGACCTCAGAGACAGTATCATCTTCGATAAGTCAGATACTAACGGTTTGACTTTCCCTCATTTCGACACTCTTGTTATTACTTTACGTATTTCTGATACTGATGTGAAAAGAATAATGGTAAACAAGGAAAGTGGCGCGTGTATTATCCACCCTCGAGTCCTCACACAAATAAGACTCAAAGACAAGATAGTACCCCGCTGCATAACACTAACATGTTTTAACAATGCACTTATTTGCTCAAACAATTTGACGCCGTCTGCGGGGAGGTTTTAGTTGAAATTTTAGTTCCTTCTAGATAAAAAAAACAGCCATCGCTTCTTCGTTTCCACAAACTAACGATGGCAGGAAAATGAGATGCAAGACTTAAAGCAATAGAAGGCAACACTACCAACATTTTGAATACCATAAACGAAGATGGCAGGGAAGATAACGAGAACGTGAGGCCAAGTGCTACGCCTAGGCGGAGTGATTCACCTCCCCCTCATGAAAGCATAATAGCTTCACTTGAAGAGGGAGCCTCCACGTCTACAGCTAAGGAAACACCACCAACAATGAAAAAATTACTGAAAGAGTGGTTGACAAGTACTCTAAACAACATACTCGACAAACCCATTCAAAGGAAGAGTAGAAACACCGCGCAAGCAGATACCACAATGATCACTGGCGAGCAGCCCGCCCCTCAAACAAGTAATACTTACACTACTGTTGATGCAAGTAGTGATGAACTTACATCCATTCTAAAGAAAATGGAAGAAATGGAAAATGAAAACAAAGCACTCCGCGACCAGATGAGGGAGCATCAAGAAAGGGTCAATAAGATACCAGGTGCCTCGAAGTTGTTACCAAAATGAGTCGTTATCCGGTTCATTGAACAACTGTACAACGTGGAAGCGACTCCATATGCAATTCCCAAGACCTTCAAAATGCCACCATACTTGAAGATATACGACGGTACCATAGACCCCGAAGATCACATCATCCATTATGTCACAACGGTGAAGGGTAACGACCTTTCGAAGGAGCAAGTACCGTCAGTGTTACTGAAAAAGTTTGGTGAAACCCTAACCGGGGGGGGGGGAAGCCTTAACCTGGTATTCACAACTGCCGGCACGGTCAATAACAACGTTCGAGGAAATGGCCGACAAGTTCGTCACCACCCATGCTGAGGCTAAAAAGGCAAAGGCCAGGGTGAATGACATATTCGCCGTTAGGCAATCGCCTGGCGAGGGACTCAGTGACTTCCTCGCCCAGTTTAACAGGGTAAGAATGAACCTACCAAATGTATCAGAAGTGATGGCGGTAGCAACTTTCCAGAACGGGTTGAACATGAGCGAGTCGAGAGCAACCACAAAATTATTAAGTAGGCTCATGAAATACCCTCCTATCACTTGGGAATAAATCCACAATGCCTACTGCACCGAGGTGAGAGCCGACGAGGACGATCTTAATGGTCCGACCCAATGGCTGACATTAGTTCAAACGAAGTCGAGAAAAGATCATCATAACGATGGTCAAAGAGATCAGTTAGATCCCCGTCTCAACCGAGAAAGACATAAACCCTACGTCAGAACAACCATCCCACCATCTCCTCGATATGCTGAAGGGCCGTCTAGGCCACATATAGGGACTCAGCAAAACGAAAGAGGTATGCCTCCACTCTTATCTGCTCACTTTTTGTCTTTCCCCTTCAAAAATAGTGTACGCACTGGAGAAGCTTGGCACAAAGATGAAGTGGCCACAAAAGATGAAGTCCGACCCAAGTATCCAAAAGTCGAACGTCCTTTGTGAATTTCACCAGGAGCGGGGTCACAAAACCTAGGACAACACAGCTCTACCGAAAGAGGTAGTAAACATGCTGAACCAAGGGCACCTGAGGGAACTGATGAGCGACCGTGGACGAGCCAACTTTGGGCGCGGACGTGAACAACACCAGGGCCCTCCAAAGCCACCCTTCCCCGCCCGCACTATCCAAATAATCATAAACGGAGGCGATGAAGCAACGATAAACCATGTGAAGTTCACCACCACACACAAACTGAAGCGGTCGATCACCCACGAACGGTACGATGACCTCGGAGACAGTATCATCTTCGATAAGTCAGATACTAACGGTTTGACTTTCCTTCACTTCGACACTCTTGTTATTACGTTACGTATTTCTGATACTGATGTGAAAAGAATAATGGTAGACAAGGAAAGTGGTGCGTGTATTATCCACCCTCGAGTCCTCACACAAATGAGACTCGAAGACAAGATAGTACCATGCTGCATAACACTAACAGGTTTTAACAATGCTGTTGAGCGAACCTCTGGGGAGATAACACTACCCGTTCTGGCCAGGGGTTTCACCCTAGAAACGACGTTCCATGTCATAAACCAAGACACAACATACAACTTCATCATAGGGTTCCCATGGATACACGCCATAAGGGCTGTTTACGTCAAACCTGTATCAAGTGATCAAGTTCCTTACTCCATGAGGGATATTCACGAATAACGCACCACCCAAGAATGCTATTATATTGCCTAGGATTGCACGTACACTCAACAACTAATGGGAGCAGACTCAAAAGCATAGAAATTACCAAAGTGGTGGACCGAACTCGACGCACAAACAGACGTCATCAGGGAGCCCAACATCGTGGAAGCCACTGAGTCAACGGTGGAAGACCTCGATCCCGTCCTACTAAACAACAATGATAGCTTCAAAAAGGCTTACATCGGACATACACTCTTAGAACCAGATAAATTTCATAAGTTTTTAATTGACAATGCCGATTTGTTCACCTTCTTTCATGCAGATATGCCGGGTATCCCAAAAGACGTTGCCACACACAAGTTAAACATCGACCCACTCTACCCACCAGTGTGGCAAATAAGAAGAAAATTCAACGCCGCAATCAATGAGGCCGTCAGTGATGAAGTGGATAAGCTACTCGCTATTTCCATCGGGGAATCAAAGTATGCCCAATAGGTTGCAAATGTGGTCATGGTAAAAAAGAAAAATGGGAAATTGCGGATATGCATAGATTTCACTAACCTAAACAAGGCATTCCCAAAAGACTCCTTTCCTTTGCCTTATATCAACCAGCTCATCGATACAACAACGAGACACGAATTGTTAAGCTTCTTGGTCGCCTACTCAGGTTAAAACCAAATCCTCATAGAGGAGGAGGACCGAGAGAAAACTACTTTCATCACCCATCAGAGAACGTATTGTTACAGAGTCATGCCATTCGGGTTGAAGAATGCAGGGGCAACATACCAAAGGTTGGTCACCAAGATGTTCAAGGATCAACTCGGCAAAATAATAGAAGTTTAAATTGATGATATGTTGGTCAAATGAAAAAGGAAAGAAGACCATATCGACCGCCTAAAAGAGGCCTTCAGTATACTAAGGAAATACGACATGAAATTGATCCCCGAAAAATGTGCCCTCAGCGTAACCTCGAGAAAATTTCTAGGTTTTTTGGTATCACAAAGACGCATCAAAGTCAATCCAGATCAAATCAAAGCCATTGAAGGGATACCTGAAGTGTTAACCATTAAGAAACAGGTGCAAAAATTGACTGGCCATATATCCGCCCTGTCGAGATTCATCTCACGGTCATCCAACAGATGCCATAAATTCTTCAACGTGCAGAAAAAAAACAACAGGCTCCAGTGGAATTCAGAATGCATCAATGCCTTGAGAGAACTAAAGGTATACTTGTCCTCACACCCACTGCTCGCCAAAAAGCAGAACCTGGCGAATGCCTCCTAATATACTTGGCCGTCTCAGAAATCGCGGTAAATGCAGTGTTGGTCCGCAAAAACAAAGGTACGCAATCTCCAATTTATTATATTAGCAAAACCCTGGTCGACGCCGAAACGAGGTAGCCCCACCTCGAGAAATTGGCCTTAGCATTGGTTATAGCTTTACAAAAGCTTAGACCCTATTTTCAGTGCCATCCCATATCGGTGGTAATGACCTTTCCCTGCGGAGCATCCTACATAAACCTGAATTATCAGGAAGACTGGCCAAGTGGGCCATAGAATTAAGCGAGCACAATATAACATATCAGCTGTGAACAACGATAAAATCGCAGGTACTCGCCATTTTCAGTGCCAAAATAATGCCCGAGGTCGAGTAGTAAGCTTCTCGTATCCCCCCGGGCTGCTCGACCTCTGGATCCTATACACCAACGGCGCATCCAATGCGTCAGGATCTAGACAAGGACTCGTACTCGAGGTCCCATCATGTAAAGTTATCTGCCAATCCATGTGGTGCCCTGATATGATTAACAATGAGGCCGAGTATGAAGCCATAATTGCAGGATTAAAGCTAGCTCTCAAATACTAAGCATGACGAGTCGTCCGCAGATGCGACTCACAACTCATCGTCAACCAAGTTACAAGGACTTTACAAATCAAAGAGCAGAGGTTACAAAAGTACCAAGCAGAAATCCATAAACTACTGCCAAAATTCGATGAATGTCGACTCGACCAGATGTCTCACCCCCTTTTTCCTCGTGGAGTCCGAATTTTGACATTTATTGGGAACAACTCATTTTCTTTTGAGAATTGGTTATTTGAATTTGAAGAGTCATCACCTAACGGATTAAGGTGCGTTAGGGAACTTAGAGAAATTAACTCATATAACTATTTTGCATTACCAGAGATTAGGGTAAGGGCTCGAAATAACCTTGAGGAAAAGGTGTTAGGCACCCATCGCGGTCCACAACGGCAGATCCCGGCCGAACTTGATTTATGTGAATTAGTCGTTTAACAAATAAATAGTCTAAGCACACATATAAGAGAGAGAAAATTTGACAGGAAAGCAGTCTAAGCACATATGTACAATAAAGGAATTTTAAGCAGTCTAAGCATACATAAGATGAGGGAGGTCCTAGGTTTGTCAGCCTATAGGATCACATCTGTACAATACCCGGTAAGCCTTCCTCAACTAGAGGGGTTACGCGTGGAATTGGCGCACAAGTTATCATATCCTTTACTACCTAATTCCCTCCCCTGGTCATAGCCTAAAGCGTTCTAGCAACCTTAAGATATATCCTATGCGTGTACTACCCGTCCTTTTAATATATAGTCACGGAGGTATTTTAGGACTTCTAGTTAGGGTGGATCTAGAATCTTCTACAGTAATTAAAGGAGAAAACTCTAGGCAAAAAACAAAACAATTAGGATTGTCAAGTAAAGAACAATTAAGGGGGCTCACATATTACCTCCACAAATAGAACAAACAAATGCACGTCTCAGACATCAGTGTTTTAGACATTTGAAAAGAGTCTTAATGACAGTATATCTAGGTGAACACAAATCAGAACATATGCAAAGCTTTATTAAAGCGGGAACCAATACCTAATCTGTTTGTCTACTGATTTAAGAGAGGGTTGCTGAATCTATATAGTTAGTCAAAAGCACAGTTTTACAGGATTTTTAATCTCCCTACATGCTTGCCTAGGTGTGTATCAATGATATCCTATGAGTATGATATCTAGTCGTCAATCAGAAGTGTAATAACCAGTAAAAAAATTTTAAACAAATAGTTTGGGTTCATTAGATCCTATAGGCATGTTGTCTAGATGTGAGGACTGATTTTAGACAATGCAGTAATTAAAACCTGATTGGCATGCGAGGATTGATTTTAAACTCACAAACATAGTGTCTAGAATGTAAGATTGGTTTTAGACCTTACAAGCATGATTTCTAAGTGCTAAATATGCTGAACCTATTTAGCATGTTTGCAGAAATTAACTTTAAACTTATAGGTATAATATCTAAACGTGCAAGACTGATTTTTTAACCTATATGCATGATATCTAAACGTGCAAGACTGATATTTTTTACCTATATGCATGGTATCTAAAATGCATGCAAACAGTCAAACAACACAACAATATGATTTCTGATTGCAGAAGTGGATTTGGACCCTATAGTCATGATATCTAGAATGCACACAAGTGATAAACATTGCAATGTCATATAGGTATGGCTTCTAGGATGTAAACATTGATTTTAAGTCATATAGGCATGATATCTACCCACTCCCAACAAAATATGTATAATAATCCCTCCCTATTTACTAATTTCCCCAATATCTGCTTACAAAGTAATTAATATTACGAACCAAGTGTAAAAAATGAATTATAGGAATGATAACAGTATACTATAGGGAGCCTGGATAGGCCCAAAGCAAAACCTAGGGAGCTAGGCCTTCAAACAACTCAAATGCCACATCTTATAGTGCAAGAGGGGTACCCTGATGTGTCAAAGTTCCCAAGGGCCTCGGGGACCCAGGGCAGTGCTCACACCAAAGTCCTCTTAAAAATCATCAACTTGTGTAGTGTGGAGTAGCCAGCCCCAATGTGTCAAAGTTCAAAGGAACCTTGTGGACTCCAAAGCAATGCTCACACTGGAGAGGCAAGAGCCTAAGTGTTCTAGGAATTGAAGTGGATAGTGCTTTACAAGGGTAGTTTTGAGAAACAGTTTCAGACTTTCAGGAAAATCAGAAGTAAATAGAGTCATTCAGTTCTTGGAACCTACGCAAAGGTTCCAGCCAAACAAACATCATTCAGAAATAGGATTACTTAAGCCTATTAGCTGCCTCTAAGTGACCAAACACATGAGCAAGGTTGATCAAACAACCACATGTAAAGGGTAATAGGGATTGGGGAGCAAGGTATCCAGATAGGAGATCATGGTAGTAGGGAAATAGACAAGACATAGATTTGATTTTAGGCATAAGTAAACATGCAAACTTGGTAAAGGCAGGACACCTAATTCTAACTAAAACCAAAGTCAGCGTGCTATTGTAGTAAATACATGTATTGGACAGGAGTAGACATAAACACATAGGTTGAATATTAATAGACATGCTAGGAAACACATAGTGAGACATGCTATTGACTACATAGTTTTGAGCAGAAGTAGCCTCATAGAATGGATAGAAGTAGTCAAGATAACAAACACATGGATTGAACAGAAGTAGCATGCTGATAAACACACAAATTCAACAGAACTAACATGCTGATAGCCACCCAAAATTTAAGCAAAAGTAGCATGCTGATAAACACACAAAATTAAACAGAAATAGCATGCTGATAAACACACATTTTAATTGAATGACAATAGTAGAGGCATACCAGTTAAGGAAGCAGAAATAGAAGGTGAGTAAGTAGGATTCAACAGCCTAGCCTTGGCTTTCAGCCGGCTAGTCTAGCAGTGATCACAAGCAGTAGAGAGATGGGAGGAAAGTTTTGTGTGTGTGTGTGTGAACTCTTGTTCGTGTATAAAGTTGAATGAGAATGCATATAGGAGTTTAGGGAATTATATATATATATATATATATAGGAGTCAAATAGTATAGGTAAGTACGACAAGGCAAATTGACATTGCAAAAATAAGGTAAGGGGAAATAATCAAATAATCAATCAAGCTTGATTGGGGGTAAGAAATTAGTGAATTATACCATAAATAACTCTAATTGAATTTCAAATA